TTTTTAGTTGTCTTTATTAAAAAAGTGAAACAAATTAGTTACAAAAACCTTTGCTCCAAATAGATACTATGTATCTTACAAACTTTTTTTGGCTTGGTTTTTGAGTTTTAAAGATTACAGTAGAAATTATTTCTAATATAAATAATGATTATTTTTTCCTCAGAAAGTTGGTTTTCTAGTACAGTATTTACAAAAACAAAATGACAGTTTATAAATGTGTACCATTTAGGAAAAATGTCTTTATGTAGTGTTGCTTGTATAATAGCAAATAAAACCATTTGATAGTGTTTATAAGGCTGGTAAAACCTTTAAAACAGACCACAACGTGCACTATGTCTGCCTTTCTGACGTTAACATGCAAAAACAAAGCTATTTGTGAAAATAGACTTATTTTTGCTCCAACTAAGTGAATGTTGTAGAACTCTTTTAATATTAAGCTCAATTAATAGCTTTGAAGACATCCTGTTTCAAATGAAAGTAATTTAAAATACTTAACACTGCAACCCTAAGCCAATGGACTACTTTGAATTCAGACATTTTAGCAAAATACAAATGAAAGACGAAGGACTTTCCAAGTTGCAGAACATTGATCTTTCAGATATGAGACGACTGTTCATGAGTATCAAAGTTTTCCAAAGAAAAGGGAAGATAATAATTTGTTGGCATCTTCCAAGTCTAGACAAGCTGGAGTTGAATCACCTGGTGAAACAAAATTGATAATTACATTTTTAAATCAGAATGACCCAGAAATAACGGGATGCTGTATACATAATGGGGAAGGTTATATGCAGTCATGTGAAGGCGGTTGGTTATTTCATTAGTGATACTGCGGGAATCCATTCCCATTTATGCCAAACTGTGCAATTCTAAATAAACAACTTTATAGCATGGTATGTCATGAAGAACAGTTTTAGCTGTCAGCAACTCCAGCCCATATGGGAGTTACATAAAAAGTATTCTTACCAATAGCTACTCCTAAAGGGAGCTGCTACTACTTGTATATTTTCTATAAAGTTGTTTACATCTGTAACAAGGATTCCACTATTTTCAAAGACTTCTCTGGAGATAGTAGGCTTGTCTGTGGAAAAAAAAAAAATTTTGGTAATGTACATTATTAAAGTAACAGAAACCCTATTATTAACAAGCCCCTTTTATTAAAAAAATCTATGTGGAATTCCCTAATGTGGGGGTGGGGTGAGAATCTGGTTCGAAAAAGAAAAGAGGTGGAGGAAGGGTCGGCAACAGCTGCCTCTGTGGGGGAGGAGGACTGAAAACCACTGATCCATGACACCTACAGTTCCTTAAAAAAGCCTAGTTAAGATTCACAGAAAACATTAAAAATTGCAGATGAAGTACCTCTAGGAGCTGATGAGACCACAGGAAGGACGAGGAGAGGATTAACTAGCTCCGCCACGGCCCTGTGTGTCTGTCCAAGCACACCTGGCTGCGGGTTGTCAGCCAGAGGCCCTGGTCCCGATACAGCGCGACAACTGTTTGCACGGTGCTCGGTGTTAGAAGGGATCCAGAGATAATTTCTGCATGCAGGAGCATGCACAGGTTATATGCCGACACCGCCCCAC